AAACAGGACACCCTGTTTTTTTTAGAATATAATAACAATTTCTAAAAAAAAAAAAAAAAAAAAAAAAAAGATTAAAGCTACAGGCGTTATTACTCCACCAATATATCTAAGCTTCAGTTCAACTTGTTAGATATCAGCAAATCAGTAAGTTTTCTGGACTGAACACACATTCTTTTTTCCAATAGTTTTTTTTTTTTTTATTTACAACATAAATACTGTGCTGCTTTCCTTCCAGTAGAAGGAAAATGATTCTTTTTCCTGCTAATTCAACCACGATGAAACAGAAAGACTCAATGTGCTTGCCGACAATACGCTCACTGCCAATCCAACGCGGAATGACCAAGTCCATTGCTCCTATCATTATATCCATAGCCAGCAAACTACTCTAAAAAGCTGGCTCGCCTAATGCTAAAACACCCTGTCCACCTACCCACCCATCCCCTGGCTCATGACAGGAGGAGATGGGGACGATTCATAAGCGCTTTCCATAGACTCTTCTTCCTTTGCCTGACCACAAAGACAATAAAGCAAGCCACGCTTTTTCAAGAACCAAGTAAGAATCACAAAGAAATTCTTTGCTAGACTCTGAGTACAGTATTAGTGCCAAATGTATTCATTTCTGGACTGGTCAGGAAATATTCCTCCTGACCACACTTTCCTCCTACGAAGTGGCAACTGCCACATTGACATACCTAATAAAGAAACATTGACAAGTGCATCCCGTGCCTCCCGAGAAAGGGACTTCAAACATTTATAACAAAATGGGTGCAGAGTTATCATAAGAAAAGATATGTGTCCAGGCAAATACCTGTCAGATCGTCCTCCTTCCAAGCTGTACCTTAGGTAGTTCATACCATCTAAGAACTGGCTGCTTGGTAAAGAGTCATCTCCTAGTTCTCTGAGGTCTTCTGGCCTAAGGTACTCTCCTCCATCTCCTGTCATTGTGTCATCACCTTTAAACCAATCACAGAAGGGATAGAGATAAGCACACACACAAGTATGACTTCATTTACATGTGGGGATCTAACAACTGGATGGCACAATAAACAGGAAGGCATTTTCCACTCAGGAAACACTGCAAACCACAAGCAATTAATGTATTTAATGAAACTGGCACATCAAGCAAGATGTTAAAAAAAATTGAAATCAAGGTGATTAATCAATTAAATTTAATCTAATTTTTGCTGTTGCAGATACTGGTAAGGGGCAAATTTCTTTGCTGCTCTCTAATGCATCATTTCTCTGTTCCTTTATCCATTTTAGCTCTCTGGTCACAGCTATACTGTATCACAGCCTGACAGTTTATTATTAAATATAACCACTTACTTGACCGTAAGCTATGTGTTTTCAGCTGAAAAGGTGTTTTCTGTGGCCTTATGCCTGATAGTTGCAAATCCTAATTTAAACTCTCCATTGTCCAAACTCCACATCATACGAGGCTGTCTCACCCATGTTCCAACACCCTTCTGTGATCAGCAAAAAAATTCTTATTTCTAAAACACGGCAATATCCAGAAACTGGAAATAAGCTTACATGCATAGATGTTAACGATCATTAATCAGAAAAGTAATTCATAATGAATCAAAGCCTAAATGATCATTGGTTATCTGACATAGTAACCTTTTTGCATATACTCTGAATAACAGGGTTTAATTTTCTTTTTTTAGGTCCAAAATGATTTTCCCCAGGAAATTCTGTCTATATGAAGTCACAGTTTGCTTTTCCCCAGCAGACTAACAAAACAGATTACATTGCCAAGCAACATGTAGATGTTCCTTTTCATTCCCATTTGCAACACGCTTTCTCTCCACAGTTTCTGCCTGGAGATTTCACTTTCCCAGTGGTTAAGTACTACTGTACGAGCCTGCCAGGGGCTTGGTGTGGCCCACAGAACCACACAACATGACCCTAGGCCACCGATATCTTCAAAGTTTCTAATTTTCTAAGCTGCATGGGCAAATGTCAAGAACCTGAAGCTCAGTTACACAAAGGAGACTGGAACTGTTATACAGGAACAGCCTTCAGGGGCTACACATCCCAGAGGCAATAATTCACCTCGATATGCTGACAAACGCGAAGGATTGTAAAGGTTAGGTAAGTGGTATCCATGCTGTTTCAAAGAGAATTCATCTGGGCGTCAGGACAGTTGCCGCTTGTGTAATTTAAAGTCTTAATAAATCAAAATTGCAAAACCCAACTACTGTTACTGCTGCTATTTCTGGTAGAGCATCTTCCCCCCGCTCAGCAAAATGTTATTGGTATTACAAGCTATAGGAGTGGTGCTCACTACTAAAGGAAGAAATCTTGATGTTTGTTTTCATGAAACAAATCAAGCTAATTTTTCTAGCTTCATGTTTCAGCTAATAAATAAATAATTTATAATTTGTCATCTAAAACTAAGTAACCTTTAGGGTTTTAAAAATATTTTTTATATATACAAATATTATATGTAAAAATGAGGCCTACCTCTTTTTAGTATAACAACAAAAGCTCTTGAAAATTCCATCTGCCCACATTAAGAGGGAGAAACTGGGCACAGTTTCACAGAAAACAATAAAATGCATTTAATCACTGCATGTTTCCTGTCTTCTGACAGATGATGCCTCCTGTTTCCTGGGAATGTCACATTATAAAGCATGGGGCTTAGCGAAAACTTGGAAGATATTAAGGCAATGCTGTTAATCAAACAGTAAAAGGAATTTCAAGTTATATTTCAAATAAACTAGATACTTATAATCATGCCAGACATTCCATCTATAATAGAAACAAAGGCAAAATCTTCACCGCTTTCATCACACCCACATCCTTTAAAAAAAAAAAAAAATCCAAACTCCAGTCTTATTTCAGCTTTGGCCTCTCATCTAAGAGCTGTCGATAATGGGTCTAAGTGACACTAGCTGTTTTATGTGATGTGAACATCTGCAAACAGTAATAAGACTATCCATGAATATTTCACATTGTCTTCAGAACATTTATCTGTTGGTAACACAGCTTACTTGCTAGCACACTAGTCTTGAGTGAGTGAACTAGAAGTTCAAGTCACTCCCCACCAACCTCTCATGCCCTTCCATCCTTCCTTAATGAGATGAACTCCCAAAACAAGTAGCACATGCTAGTATACGAAGGGAAAAAAATACGTATTTAAGTCAAAATGATTGTGTAGCAACATAAAATTTCATACAATTTGGTTACCCGAGTGCCTTTAATTCCTGCTTTGCAGGGCAATTGCACATATGCAAAGGGAATTGTTCTGAGTCTGTGTAACAAGCACTCATTCATCCTGCCAGTACTGTTCTGTTGTCATTAAAATATCTGACACAGCTATATTCCTGAGTCTCAGCCAATTCAAACACACACAGACATCTTATCTGCTGAGAAGAAATTACATATTCAGCTGACCTCAAGCTTCTTTACACAGCACATCTTACCAGATCGTAGTTTTGTGGCGGTACAAGAAATTATCCTTTTTAATCACGCTAGAAACAATTCATCTGCCATCACATTCCCCATCAAATTAATGACAGTAATGTTTTTGCCACTTCCTAAGCAGTTCGTGACAAATATAGCCTTTGACATTGATGCTCCATGATTTGCAGTGGCCATCTATGAACTCACAGGTGGATTTCGATGAGTTACCGACTTAGTGATTTATCTTCTATTTACTTGAAAGAACACCTTCCTTTCTTCAGTGGTACCCATAGACTTTCAGAGGTTTACGTGATGGGGGAAACACACTACAAAACACTGGGTGAGCTAGCACTGTGCCCCAATTAAAGCATTCCTGTTCAGCCTTGGCTTCATCCCTGCTACTGCCCCTCTCTCAAATATCTCTAAAAATTTTGTCCAAATCTGCATTTCTGAATAACATCATCTTCTTTAGGGCAGGTTTGAAAGGAAATAAAATGCACTAGAAGGAAGTATCAAGTACCTGGACTCTCTTAAAGGAAACACTAGGGTTTTACTGGTCAGGACACTGGAACCAGAAAGAAAAAAAAATAAAAATTAAATACCCAAACCTAGGAATCTGTTTATATTTACACAAGAAAGTGGCCAATAGCCAAGTCCCTGCACTTGCTGCTGCTATTGTTTCTTCTTTGCAGAATGTCAATAGCTCCCAGTACGATGGGTAGCTTTTCCAGAGCATAACACACAAAGCATCATGGTCCCACCACACTCACAGCAATGAGCTGGTTAGTCCATTAATCTGTTTCCAGTGGCCAAACTAGTGCCCTGGGACAAGACACGAGCCCCCCCCCCCGAAGCATACATTTTGAACAGGTTTGCAACGCTTGGGGTTCATTCTTTTCTCCTCAGAAGGGGGACAGAAAAAAATCAAAGGGGAGAGATCACTGGAAGCAAGGAGATGGAAACAAAGGCAATGGCCAGGTTGCAGGGAGAAGGGATCACAGACAGTACAAGTTTAGCAGGTTCCAGGCCTGTTACTAGGAAAAATGAGGAGATACGAACCTGCTAAACAAGGTGCTAAACATTTCTATGAGGTGTTGACCACCTACAAAAACTATTAAATCAAGTGGCCTTTTCTGCAAAACTGGAGACCCAGCACTTGGCAGCATTGGATCCAAGGGAGGGAAAGAAAGAATGAAAATAGAATGGAGAGGTGAAAAAGAGAGAAAGTAAACCTAAGAATCAGAATGGGAAAACTAAATAAACTTTAGGATTTAAATACTACACTTAAGGCAAGGAAGGCCTGATACAGAAACTTACAATGGGCGAGTGAAAACTGCATCGATGGTTGTTAGTAACACTTTAGACAAAGCTTTAAATCTTTGTCACAACCAGAACTGTTTTCAAAATCTGCATTAAAACAGAGCCAACCAACCAACTCGCAAAAATCCACAACTAATTAACTTTTTGCTCAAGTCAGCAATATTCGTATCATGACTCTTACTGGTCTGCTCCTCTTTTTTTTTTTTTTCCTTACATTTTATGCTGACCACATATTATTTCTGGGTATCACGACCCCATAATATCCAGATACAGCAACGGATCTCAATTTCTAAGATACCTGTTCGCAGGAAGGGAAGCACCTGGGCAGATCTGACTGGCCACCCGGACAGTAAATATTTGCCTTACTCTAAGCGAGTAGTACAGAGAAAACAAAAAGCTAATTTTGATGCTGATGATTTCCCGTGTTTGAACACAGGTTTTGAGCATCAGAAATCATTGAATGGACTACTAAGAGAAACAGGCCACACGCTGAGACCACATACCTGCTCCTTCAGTGACAGTTTGGCCGAACACACAGGATTTTACCAAACCATCGAAACTGGAGACCCACACTGCTATTGCTGTACTTTACTTCTTAGTTCTCCCTAAATTCTACAAAAGGGAGGGGTACGTCCTACCTATATAGCTGCGTAAATCAAGCAACAATCACGAACCACTTTGAGATCAAAAACGTGTTTTAAATGCAAAGTAACATTTACAAGACAGTAGCTTTGAGTCACCCAGCCACATGCAACTCTCAGCTCAGCGAATCGGTGTTGGCTCACAGGAGAAGCGTTTCAGTAACGTTTCTAAAACAGACCAGCTTTTTTTCAGAAATTATCCTCTGATATCAGGGAGCTATGCAAATGGTTGATCGAGTGAGCAGTTTTAAAATTTGCTGGACGTGCATCTACAGAGTCAACTTGTTTAGGGAAGCCTCAAAGGCAGTTCCTACCATCCCTCTAGTTTTCCTGCTACGTAAGTGAATTGCAAAATACGACTGCTGTATGAGAATTGCTCTGGAATTGTTTTTCGCAAAACACAGAGGAAAATATAGGCTCTAGTTAAAAAAAAAAAAAAAAAAAAAAAAAAAAAAAAGAAAGAGGGCTGTGATAGAAACTGCCAGAAATTGCTTTTAATAGATGTTTTTAAAGCCGGATACAGTTATGTGAGTTTGCCAAAATTATTGTTTTCTCTGCAGCATACAGATAAGTCTACAGCTCCC